TTATCAATAAAATTCAACTTTTATGAATTTGTACACCATAACGTTTATGTGGCTTAATTGTGTGAGCACAAGTGTATATATGTATATTTTCTTTATATTTTACATCAAATCACACTAGCATGTACGTACAAATTGAACTATTTCAATTCTTTATTATATTCTTTAACATCTATGTAAATATTTAATTCATGTAGGTTTGTTAAGATATTTATGTATATACATATATATTTATTTATAGGTCTTTAAAAGTTTTGATAACATGTACCACGCGGTCGCACATATTCACGTATGTAATTATGTGTGCATGTAAACAAAAAGAACCATACGCATAATGTTTGTAAATTGTCTACCCACAACTTTGTATGTAAATGTGTACACTTATTGCTTAATGTGAAATCTTCGTTTCTTGGGCAACCAATGGCAGAAGCTCAAGTTTTTTCAAAGAATCAATGTGTCGAAGGGCTGATRTGACAACAAAGCATCACAACATTGTGTTGTTGGTAGAAAATCCGGCTGTGCCGAAAACACAAACGAACGATTGCCAATTGCCACTGCTTCCCTTGCCGCTGTAGCAGCTTCAAGAACAAACCAGCGTAAATATGTATGTTTCTATATGAGCTTCCATACATACATATCGACACAGAATTTTGCAAGTCGCGTACAATTACATTCCTTGACAAATACAGTCAATCCCGGTTATGTGCCACAATCAAAGATACAGATTTTTGTGATTTGTTAAAAATAAAAATATAATATGGCACATAAGCGAGTGCGGATACTTAAACGATTGGTACTTAAAACAATAATTTCTATGTATTTCAAAAAACAAGCCGTGCGATGCAGCAAGAGGGATGATTTTCATTTAAGCGGAGTACTACTTAACCGGGATTCACTGTACACATAAATCTGAGGAATAGTGAATATTTTCTTTGGCACATTTCTTGACTTGAAAATCGACAAATAAACTATGTTGTCAATTTTATTCTATACTTATATTTGCGAGGTTGTCGCTATTTCCTTCTGATTAAAATATCAGAAATTGTTCAATTTRTGATTTTTAGCTTTTGCCAACATCGAGAAAAGACGCTTATAGGCAAAGGCATGCTCGGGGAGATGTAATGGTATTTGTTTTTATGAATGAAGCWAGTTTGCCTGTTGAAAGTGCGCTTGCGTTCATGAACCCGCGTACAAGTACAGAAGTATCGAATTCGCTACTTATCGGTAAACACCAGTACTTCCACCATAATTTACTTCACTTGCTTTCGAGAGACGAATTTAACAAGGAGATGTCCTAAGAGAGAGTCTATTGTCACCCTCTGCATTACCTGTAAGTACCTACGTCGCTACTCACAAGTATTACTTTGCTACCCGCAGGTAACCACACATTTCGATAATCCCAAATCGTTATAAAATTCGCCAGTAGTTCTGATTTATAAAAACACGCATCTTTCTTTTAATTTTAATTTTATTTTGTTCCAATTTTTTTTTTATAAAACAAGGAATATAATACCCAGTAGTGCGTTATAAAAGTTTTGAAGGGATTTTAAGGACTTTTTGCCCTGCACTCCATCGACGTTGAATGCCATTGCTATTTCATCGCCCAAAATATTTCGTAAATTCTTCAAAATTCTTCAAAACGCCGGTAGGTTGCAGCAGCGATCTCATAGCTTTAACCTGTGAAAAAATTAAATTAAGCATGTTCAATAGCGTGTCCGTTATTTTTCGAATTAATTTCTTTTTTACGTACTTGTGATAATTTTTTTCGAAGATTTTTCTTGCAGTTAAAACAAAGAAAAAAAAATAATTCGGAAAATAAGGGCCGCGCTAAATATCAATAAAACTTAATAATATTTCTAAAACTTACATAAGTGTTTTTGTTTTCTCTGTTGAGCTGGTCATTTGGACTGAATAGGCAGCTCCTCTGCACGCTGTTGCAAAAGTTGGTTAAGGACAACTTTTTATCGGGCAGTGCTTCAATTGCTATTTGCAGTTGACCTTAAATAATTTTCAGAATTTATACAATTTTATATTTTTAAATTGTATAACAGTAGCCTTACCACGAACCACCTTAATTTCCTGTTGCATGGCATCTGAAAAAATACGATTTTAAATAGATATGTAGGTGTAGCACAGGGATCAATTTTCCGTAAATTATTTTTACCATTCGTCGATCTTTTTCTCGAGCTGATCGATAACGATAGTGAAACTGCAATTGTTGTCTATTGGATTTAATTTTTTTTAAATGTATCAACGATCACTTACTTTCTTTGCAAAAGGCAACGTGTTTAATTTTTTTTGGAGAAATATCAGGCATTTTGAAACAACAAAACATTAATTAAAGAATGCAACATCGGCAGTATCAATAAATCGTCTCGATAAGGCACCCCAACAGCTTTGCATTCAAGGTCTAAAAATGAAAACGACTCTTCCGCATCTNAGTATCGAATTCGCTACTTATCGGTAAACACCAGTACTTCCACCATAATTTACTTCACTTGCTTTCGAGAGACGAATTTAACAAGGAGATGTCCTAAGAGAGAGTCTATTGTCACCCTCTGCATTACCTGTAAGTACCTACGTCGCTACTCACAAGTATTACTTTGCTACCCGCAGGTAACCACACATTTCGATAATCCCAAATCGTTATAAAATTCGCCAGTAGTTCTGATTTATAAAAACACGCATCTTTCTTTTAATTTTAATTTTATTTTGTTCCAATTTTTTTTTTATAAAACAAGGAATATAATACCCAGTAGTGCGTTATAAAAGTTTTGAAGGGATTTTAAGGACTTTTTGCCCTGCACTCCATCGACGTTGAATGCCATTGCTATTTCATCGCCCAAAATATTTCGTAAATTCTTCAAAATTCTTCAAAACGCCGGTAGGTTGCAGCAGCGATCTCATAGCTTTAACCTGTGAAAAAATTAAATTAAGCATGTTCAATAGCGTGTCCGTTATTTTTCGAATTAATTTCTTTTTTACGTACTTGTGATAATTTTTTTCGAAGATTTTTCTTGCAGTTAAAACAAAGAAAAAAAAATAATTCGGAAAATAAGGGCCGCGCTAAATATCAATAAAACTTAATAATATTTCTAAAACTTACATAAGTGTTTTTGTTTTCTCTGTTGAGCTGGTCATTTGGACTGAATAGGCAGCTCCTCTGCACGCTGTTGCAAAAGTTGGTTAAGGACAACTTTTTATCGGGCAGTGCTTCAATTGCTATTTGCAGTTGACCTTAAATAATTTTCAGAATTTATACAATTTTATATTTTTAAATTGTATAACAGTAGCCTTACCACGAACCACCTTAATTTCCTGTTGCATGGCATCTGAAAAAATACGATTTTAAATAGATATGTAGGTGTAGCACAGGGATCAATTTTCCGTAAATTATTTTTACCATTCGTCGATCTTTTTCTCGAGCTGATCGATAACGATAGTGAAACTGCAATTGTTGTCTATTGGATTTAATTTTTTTTAAATGTATCAACGATCACTTACTTTCTTTGCAAAAGGCAACGTGTTTAATTTTTTTTGGAGAAATATCAGGCATTTTGAAACAACWAAACATTAATTAAAGAATGCAACATCGGCAGTATCAATAAATCGTCTCGATAAGGCACCCCAACAGCTTTGCATTCAAGGTCTAAAAATGAAAACGACTCTTCCGCATCTAATGGCTCCCTGTCAACTAAATATATTCTCAAAGTTGTTGAATTAATAGGTTCTTCAACAAAGGATCTAAGATTTTTTTAATCTGCGACCTATTATTGTGCCTTCTACACCTGGTGTAAACGATCCAATGAATACGGGCGTATTGTTTTTCACGTAACAGGGCCTTTTGTACTTAACATACAGCCTTGAAATAAATATTTTTTTCAACAGTTCGGGTTTATCTTTATTTAAAGGAGCAACGAATTCATCTTCCATAATTTTCGCGTGTGTTTGTTCGAGAATTTTCGTTGGTTTTCGGATATGTCGTTGGGAGTTTGCAAATAATTTTCGAAAGCATATGCAGAGCACGCGATTGGATCCCCAACCTGCGCGACCGTCTCCTTTAAGTGCAGTAAACTGTGTACGTTGAATGACACACTAATTTCGCCAACGATAATTGGAAAGTTCTCAACAAATAAATTTAACATCAGTTGAGAAGTTTCCAAATTTGCGTTGCGAAGTTTTGGGCAACAGAGCATTCTGTGCGAGCAATGTAAAAGCAAAAACTCGTAGTATATGTCGTCATGCACCTCATTTCTTAGAGAAACAAGCCCAGTGTACAACAAAAATTGCCTAAACTCAGTGGATTTACAATGTAGCTATTCTTCTAACTATCTGGGTTTGCGCGCAAAGTCATTCGGAACATGTTTTCGCATTGCTATTAATTTTTCGGATATCTTTTCTTTGTTTGCTTTCGTTACTTTGACAGACACTTTGTTATTTACTAATCTAGTTAAGAATTTTCTCATGACTAACAATTCTACAAGGTGCATGTAGTCCAAAGGAACCTGTGAAACCATGGATTCTCCAAGTTTTTCAAAAGCTGACTTCTCTTGTAAATATTGACCTTCATGGTGAGTTGGGTATTTTCTAGCCGAAAAATCTTCATTTGTAATTAGCCGACCCAATTTGGTGCTATAGGTTAAAACGCAATCAATTTTTTTTGGCTACCTGATCACATTTTGAACATC